TGACACTCACCAGGACCTGCCTCTGCCCTTGGTGGCCCCAGAGCTGCTTGAGTGGGGCTTGGCAGCAAGACTGGAGGAAAGCGGCCAGGACGGGAGAGATGGGCTCCATTTACTAGTGTGTCTTTGAATAAAGTCTGTCTCCCTGGACGTACCTGCCTCCAGTGCTGCCATTTCCTCTCAGTATCTGTTAAATGCATAAGTGAATGAATGAATGAATGGGTGGCTGAGTAAGTGAGCAGGTGAAGGAAGGCTTTCCTTTGACTTGCTGGGAGCCCAGTTCCTGCATACAAGGGTGGTGGGGCTTATATGACAACTAGTGTTTGCTTCCTGCTGTCTCTGCTTTTCAGAACAGGAAGAGCCCCCAGCCTCCCCCTCAGACCCCTTTTCGTGGGTCTTGGGGAAGGCTTCAGTGCTCTGACCTCCCTCTCTCTATACTCTCCTGCTGCCTGGTGCTTATGTCCTCTTGACTTGGTGCCCACCCCCTTCTCTGCAGTAGCTCAGCCTCCAGACACACACGCACAAGAAAACGCCCTCTGCTCTAGCTTGCGGAATGACTGATTTTTTTTGTCAACCAAGGCTCGGAGCTGGGACTGCTGCTTCTCCTGGAACACCGTTACTCTACTGGCCAAGTCACCTGCATAGGCCCTCCCAGCATTGCAATGACCCCTGACTGCCAAAAGAGTTCAGTGGATAGAGACACTTCCAGAAACACAAGTTGGAGTTGCGGTTCCTGGTGGCCCTGGAGAGCACCTAAGGGCTCGGAGCTCTTGGCAGCCGGGACAAGTCTCATTGGTGTGTCCATCTCTCTTCTCCCTCCTGGGGAGGTGATTTTTGCCCACCTGACCAAAGTAGCAGGACTGCTCAGGGTTGGGTGTGCCACCTGTGTTCTGTAGCCAGTTTCCTTCTCAAGAGTTCAGGGCACAAGCTCCTGTTCACATGTGCCCTTCAAGACCACACCGTGCCCTCGGAGCTTGGGAATTCTGACACTGGGCCCCGAGGGACTTACTACCAGGTGTGTGTGTGGACAGCCCCACGTGGACGTCCTCCTTGGGTCACGTCTTGCCTTGTTATGGGAAGACTGCCTGCTTGTGGCAACCCTGACAGAGTAAAATGAGCCCCAGAAAAATATTCAGAGAATTTGAGCGATTCTTCTGCCTTGAACTCAACGATCCAAGTCCTGCCGCAAAAACACTGGACAATTGTGGACCCAGAGCTCTCAGCCCTGCACAAGCAACGGAGACACCCTACCAATCTCAGGAATGTGCCGAAGGAGTCCTTTTCCCACTTTTGTAACCAAAGCTCATTGTTGGAAGGAAGGCTTTCTCATATTTTTATGTCCTTTGTGTTCCCTTCGGCAGAGGCAGACACATTTTCCTCAGCTTTTGATCTCTGGGAAATTGTAGGTTTTTCTCTTTTTGATGCTTCTGAAGTTATTTTAAAATTCTGGGTCCCCACAAGGCCTGGAGGGGATAATTGTGCATGTTGAGATCTTGACCTACTGGGGTTTTCACGTGGTTACAGGAGAGGCTTCGCCCCATCGTATGACAGTTACGCCAGCAAGTACTTAAGAGCACTCGCCGTGTGCCAGGCACCTGTAGATATAAACTCATTTCACCCCGGTCCCATTGGGTGGGCACTACTGCTATCACTATTTTTCAGATAGGGACCAGAGAGGAAGTAACTTGCCCAGAGACAACCAGTGACCCAGCAAAATGTGGCAGAGCTGATTCAGATTCAGTAATTCTGAAGTCTACACCCTTAACCACCCTTGCCTGCCTCCTCTGGATTAATTCAGAAAAGAAAAGAAAGAACCTACTCTTGAGTTCACGTGAGACCTTCCCCAAGACCATCTCCTGAGGAAATTGCTTTCACAAAAGTCATTTGATGGGGTAGACCGCAGATTAAAACTTTTTTTAAGTCTTTGGAAATTTTTTGTCTGGATTTGTACAATATCCTTGGTTCTTACAGAATTCCACCTCTGCTCAGCCTCCAAAAGCACACTGAATGAAAGATGGGCGGTTTCCAGGCCTGAAACACCAGGGTGGGTAGAGGCCTCAGATCCCCAGCTCCACCCCATTCACGGATACTGAGGCTGTGTCCCCGTGTCTAGAGGACACCCAAGGACGAGCGACTCTCACGTTCAGAGCAAGACAGGGATGGAGGCTTAAGGAGAGGAAAGGAAATTTTGTATCAGAGCCAGTCAGGAACTGGAGAGGCATCTTGGCCAGCATTGCTGGACGTTGGAGACAGGAACCATTTCTCCTTGTTTGACAGGAGTTACCAAAACTCCATCCACGGACCGCTTGTGTTATGGAAACATACTCCAAAGCCTTTGGCAAAGAGCCTGGGATGTTTGCTTCTGGTCCTATCACTCTGTTTCTCTCCTTGGCATGAGACCTGGGCACTGGGGTCTTCGAGGTGACCCAGGCGATTCCAGTGCAGAGTGAGGGCTGAGGACCCCTGAGCCCCAGTCCAGGCCCAACCCCGTTTTCTAGCGTGGGGATCTGGGACCCAGAGAGCGAGCTCAAGCCTGGTGACTCTCGGGCCACTCAGCTAAGAGATGTTATGCAAGACGGTGACCTGGGCGCAGGTGAGGGTGGTGGGATTCTGGCCTGTTGACAGAGATGAATGGAAACTGGGGCCATGCCTCCACCTGTGCAACCGATGTGTCAAAACGATTGCCTCTCAGTGTGCTTCCTGAGAGCTGGGAGCCCCTTCGGGTTCTCTTTAGGAAGGGAAGTGCTTGAACCCTCACCTACCCCTTTGCTCTTGACAAATATTTGGCCAGTAGGGTTCTGAGGCCAGGGTGCAGCGGACTGCTCCCTGCCCGGGATGCCTTATCTCCTAGGTGTGGGTGCTGTACTTGCTCTGTTTGCTCTCTGCAAACTTTGCAGGTGGAGTGAGGCAGGCACTGGCTTTGCCCCGTGATTCATGCTGAATCTCGGCTTTCCACTGAGCAGGGCCTGGCACGGCTCTGAGGTGGCCCAACGATCAGTCCTGTGTGAAGGTCACCCTTCCTCAAGCCGCACTCCCTGCCACTCCTTGTTCCCCAACCTCGTGCCAACTCACGGCCTTCCCAAGCCCTCACTGCTGCTGCAGCATCCTTTGGGCTTGGCATGTACCCTTTCCTCCCCTGGAAAGCCTCGTCCTGACCTTCTGGCCTAAGTCCACCTCTCCCTTCAAGACTCAGTTGGGGCCGTGTCCCAGTCGGGACTGCTTTGCCCAATCGTCCTGCGCTGTCACTGGCTGACTCTACGTCTGTCTGCACTGGGCTGCCGGCATCCTGGGTGAGCAGACTTCCCTCTGCTGTTGGGTGGTGAGGGGGCACAGGGCCAGAAGCTTCACAGTCACGCCCACAGTTTCAGGCGGTTCGCACCAGCCGGCAACATGCAGAGTGAGCTGCCAAGTGCCATTTATAGTGGAGGAAGCCAGGGCCCGAGAGGTGGAACCACATGCTACAGCATCCTCCCGCGGATTCGGTGGAGAGGCCCTCTCACGCCGTGTGCCAGCAGCCCTCTGCTCACAAGATGGGCAAGCCAGATCCACCCTCTTCCCCGTGCCACACTCTCGTGCCTTCTAAATCCAAGTCTGTCTCAGCCATCGGCACGATCACATCCTTTTGTTAAGCGTCCCTTATGAAAAAGGCCCAGCAATCTGCTTGATCTTAAAGGCAACTATGGATGAATCTACACACACATCTTACTCCACAGCAGTCTAAGGATTTTTATTTAATCGATTTTGCTCTTATTGTAAGTTAGAAAGTGAGTCCCACTGCCTCTCAGTCATCAGTAGAGGAATTTTCTGATCAGAGATGCCCACATATGATTCATCAGACCCAACTTGGTTTTGATAACTCCAGATTCTTCACTGCACTGATTTTTCTACCCAAATGTGATGGTCTCCTGCAGCTTCTCAGCTAAGAGGCTCAGAGAACACCTGGGGAAGTGCTATCTCTTACCCAGCAAGTGGGCAGCAGGTGCAGGGAGACAAGGTCAGGGTACCACGTGCATTTACACCCCAGGGAATGTAGGGCTAGGAGGGCAGCCCATCCTCAGCCCCCAGACCCTCAGGAGGATGGCGCTAAGCTCTGCAGTACCTTGGACCCTGTGACTATCTCCACCCGTGTCCCAGCCCAGTCCTTCTCTGGGTGGGGTCGGTGGAGGAGGCTGAGGTGACTCCACTGGGATGAAGAGGGACAAGGAGAATGGAAGACAAGTACAGGAAATCCCAGCTGGGGTTGTACCTTGTCCACAGGGGGAGCCGGACTATACCATTGAGATTATGAACCCTAAGTCTGTCCTTATGCTTCTCTTGAAAACGTGGGGCTCCCTGACCCTGAGGACACCAAGTGGGATGTCTTCTGGATAACGACAGGGGGAGGAATGCTTCTCCCACCTCTGAGGAGACCAGGCTGAACTGGGCCCTCCCCACTGCAACCCCATCTCCAAAAGTCAGAGAACTTCTGGGACTTGGGGATTTAAAGGTCAAGTTTTTTCTTAAATGCTAATGATATAGTATGGCTAATTTGTTTTGCCAAGTAAAGACCAAAAGAATCAGCTGGCCACTACCATTGTATAAAAGAAAGAATATTTTTGGGAGTTTCCTGGTGGTGCAGTGGTTAGGACTCAGTGTTCTCACTGCCATGGCCCCGGCTTCACGCCTTGGGCCACAAGCCGTGCAGCATGGCCAAAACAAAACAAAAAGGATATTTTTCTATAAAAAATACTAGGAAGGATATAATCTCAGAGTCTGCCCTTCTACTAAAAAAAACTGGATGGCCTAAGTCCTTTCTAGGGATAACAAATTTTTAATTCAAAGGTGCCTCTGCTTTCCCATCTCACAAATGGGTCAGTACCACACTCACAGTGATGTTGTGAGGATTAACTGAGTTACCATTTGTAGAGTGCCCCCGGTTCCCCAGCGTGACCTCTGGGTCTGGTCCTACCTGGGCATGGGCTCTCCTGGTCTGACCCTAACCCCTTCTCTCCCTCCCTCTGCAGGTCTTTGGGGGGCTGGTGTGGATCCTGATTGCCTCGTCCCATGTGCCCATCCCACTGATCCAGGGCTGGGTCATGTTCACGTCTGTGTTTTGCTTCATAGCCACCACTCTACTGCTCTTCCTGTATCTAATTGGTGCCCACGGCAGCAGAACTTCCTGGATCACCCTGGTGAGTCCCAGTCCTGCGATGTTTGAGGTGGGGGTGGGGGTGGGGTGTGGCATTGGAGCGTCGCCCCTGGCAGGTTGGCTTTGCCAGTGCTGGGTGAGGTGCCCTGTACACGTCTCCCACCCATGCGCCAAGGCTGAGCCGGCCAGGCCATCAGCTCCGAGCTGCCCATAGCAGCCCAGGGCTCCCCGCTGCAGGAGGTCGGACAGAGGTGAAAGGCAGAAGCGGACTGTCACTGTCGCTACCTGATCCTCTGTGGGCCTGCTCTGCTTTCTCCTGGGTGAACGCCCTTTTCATGCAAACCGGCAGCCCAACAACCCTCCCTGTACCTCCTGCACCTGCCAGGGGCCAGCTGGCATCTCCCACCACCCAGAAGGGCTGGCTTCCATTTTGGGGGAGGGGACAGGGTGCTGGGGGCTGGTCCTGGCTGCCCAGCGTGAGGCCACGCTTACTGCCCAGCTCTCAGTCACCACCTTCTAGAGCAGGGTCACCAGAGAGGGACTTGGCCCAGGAAGAGGGAAGGCCTATGATCGCTCTTGCACATGAATTCTGCTTTGAGGCCCATGAAGGGGGTAAACTTACACATGGGCCACCTGCCCTTACCTCCCCTGGAAGGGGGCGGGGCTGTTAGCCAGGCCTCTTAGTCTCAAAGGGCCTCCAACCTAGACTTTAGAAACCACCTCCAAATCGTAACTACTCAAAAACCTGTTCTAGTGCTTTTTTGCTTTTAAAACATACCTGGAGCCCCAATCCCTGGCTCCCCCCAAGAAAAAGCTAACAACAACACAACAGTGAAAATGGCCTGAGCCTCTCACTCTGTATTGGCCACCAAGGCCACACCCGAACTGGGGACTGTGACTGCAGCTGACACTTCTCAGGTCCAGAACCAATTTCTACCAATCCCAAAGGGCCACCTCCCCACCCCTTACTAGATCCCACCTCAAGGGAAAGCAGTATCCTTCCTCCATCAAAGTCCTTACTCTGGCCCCAAACCAGTGAGATAACTCAGCTCGGCAGCTCTGGTTAATCAATGTCTCTGAGGAGGGGGGCAGGGTTGCGGGGTGTCAAAGGGAGTAGCAGATGATGACGGGGGACCTGGTCCGTGCCAGACAGGGACAGGTGGGGTGGACAGGTCCTGCTGGGACCACAGCTGCCCCACATCTCCATATCTGGGTGCCCCACCTCTCTAGTGGCCTTTTCTCACCCTGCAGGATGCAGCCTACCACTGTATCGCCTCCCTGTTTTACTTTGGTGCCTCTGTCCTGGAAGCTTTGGCCGCCATCCAGCTGCAAGTGGGCTTTATCTACAAATATTACCATGAAAACATCGCTGCTGTGGTGAGTCCCCAGTCAATTTGCCCTGTTCACAGCTCCCACTGAAAAGGTTCTGAGTGGAAGGCTGCCTGGGCCCTCCCACATTTTTTTAGTTCACTAAATTTTGAGTAAAATAAACCTTCTCCTCATTTCTGAAGAAACAAAGCCTCAGAAAAGGGAAATCATGTGCCCCAGACTCCCTCAGCCATCAGTCAGTGCTGCACTGCCCAGACCTGCACTGACCAGGGGTCCAAGCCTGGGTGAGCTTTGAGGCAGATGCAGGAGGAGACACGACCGTGGGGCCTGGCACTGTCTTGAGCCCTTGTGAACAATCTTGTTTACCCCTCACGACAGCCCTAGGAGGGAGGTGCCATTATACCCATTTCACAGATGGAGAACTAGGGCCCTAAGAGCATGCACAACCTGCCCCAGGGTCACCAGGAATTGGAAAGGCCTGGTGTCCAGGCCAGGTGCTCTTTCACCCATACTCTTAGCACCAGTGTGAACAGAACATCTGGCCACTTGGGTTCCTGGCTCTCCATGAGTGTCTTCCAGGGAAGCACACCGTCAGGGCAGGGGCAGTGCTGAGACCACAGATGGAAAGTCGAGTGGCCAGTGTCTCCCAGGCCCTGGCTCTGCGGCTGTGGGGAGGCTCTGTGGCTGTGGGGAGGCCCTGCCATGCGCAGCATGTCCAGACCCCCAGCCGTGGATGGTTGCTGCTGGGATTAGGCCTTCGTCTCTTGACGACGGTGTCTCCTGCCTGACAGCTCTGAGAACCTGTGCAGGAGGAAGCCTGGAGTTCACACTCACCCATTCCTTGTTCAAGTCCCTTTGTGCCCTCTGAGCCTCGGTTTGCTCATCTATAAAATGGGACAGTAATTCCTGTTGTTTCCATGGAGAATGAGACAGCTCTTAAACCACTTCCATCCAAGGCCTCATGATGAGCAATGGGTGGAACAGGGCTGTAATCTCCTTCACCCCATTAGGAGGTGAGATGGGGGTGAAACTGTGTGTCTGGGGAGCACACTGAACGTAGGTCTCTGAGCTTTAAAAGGAACAACCTCCAACTGGGGGACCGGATCCATGGCGGTCTGTGAGTTCATGACCTGATTTTCTTGTTGATGGAATGGATCAGAGTGACAGGGGATATGAGAATGTATCGTTTCATGAAACTCTTTCC